GATAAAGTGGACACTTTCTTACCAGTTTAAAGCTGCTTAAGATGCAGATGTAAGGAATATTTGTTAGAAGTAGTCTGTCAGTCCACGGGCAAGGGGAGAATGGTGGGCGAGCTCTGAGGTGTGGAAGCTCTGACCAGCGATGCGGGAAGTCTGCATCCTTTTTGGCATAGGCTGGACCAGTCTTGCTGTCTGGCTGCGGTGGGTTGATGGCTGCCAGTGAGCTTCTGTGTGGAGGGCTTCTAACAGCGTGGATGGTGGAGTAGCACTTGCGCGTGTTGGCCCTTGCATTATCTTCACATTCCACTTGACCTTCATAAAATCTTATAAAGTTTTCCGTTACCTTTTACAGATGGAAATGAGACTTTAGCAATGAGTTTCTCCATCTGTAGAACAGGAACCCTTGGTTGGATGATTTCTTAAAGGCTTTCAATTCCTAAGAGGGCTGTGCCCAAGTCCATGCAGCAGGCACACCTCCTGGCCCAAGTCCATGCAGCAGGCCACATATCGAATTCCTGCCAGCAATTCTTCTCATCAAATCACAGCTTCTCCTGGGGAGCCTTCGTTGCTCACCCGTGCTCCGGTACAGCTAGCATTTGTTAAATCCTTATGCTGTACCAGGCACTGCATGCTAGTCTGTTATCTGTATGGACTTATTTACTCCTCACAGTCATAAGGTGGATAACTGTAGAGGAAGCCGAGGCTCGGGTGATTAAGTAAGTTGTCTAAGATCAAGTGGCTTTTTGTAGCAAAGCTGGAAGTGAAGCCAGGCAGTCAGGTTCCAAGTCCACACCCTTCACCACCATGCTTTTCCTTTTTTTGAGCTGAGCTGATGAAGAACTTATATTTCACAGAGTAATTTGAAAGACTGCCCCTTGAATTACCCATTTGTCTGTTCATTCCCTACATCTGTCTTCCTTACTGAGGAACAACTCTTGGTCTTGTATTATGTCAGGTGCTTGTGTAGTTAGGAGGTGAACGATACCTACTCTTCACCCTTCCCCCCAAGATGCACTGTCCAGGGATTTGGATGAACCTCTGTCTAGTTTAGGGTGTTTGATGAAAGGCTAGATGTTGACTGAACCAATACCATAAACTAAATCTAACCAAACACGTGGAGCACCCACGTCAGTCACCTGGGGCCCAGGAACCTGCATGTTTAACACACACCTCAGGTGAATCTTATGCAAATTAATATTTGAGAAATGCTTCTGTGGAACTTTCTAGTAAAGTAAAGCAGTTTCCGGCCCTAGTTGCAGAAGCAGCTCATTCTTTTCTTGACTGTTCTGGAGACATGTGGTTTCCTGGGAAGGGTCTCTGGGGGTATGGGAGGGGAGGAGGGCTCTGAAGAGTCCAGGAGGGGGGAGGGACTCCCCAATTTTGAGTTAATTAGAGCAACTTCTTATTCGATTGATATTTTGGTCTGCTGCTTAAGTTGTAACTTGGAGAAAGTTTCCAATGCTTATGAAAAACCGAAATGCTCTTAACTGAAGGAAAACTTTAAAGCAGCATATAAGGAGTTTATGTGAGCCAGATGAAACCTAAAATTGGAGGAAGCCCCAAGCACAAAAGAAGTCACGTGTGACTGGCCTCCAGCAAGGCTGCCAGGCAGGTTATATGAGCAGAAAGTTTGCAGAAGGAACAGATGTGAGAAGAGGATTTGAGCATTTTAATTCTTAGATTATTAATCAGAACTTAAGCATTCCTTTGTCTTAAGGAATATTGTTTTCAATGACAGTATAGCATTCCTTCATCTTGGTGAATCTTAATTTACTTTAATTACCTATTGAGTAGATATTTATGTGTATTGAAACTTACGGGGGGAGAGTAGAGCTGCGAGAAGACATATAAATAACAAATAAGGAAGTAACCATTTCTCTGTGTATGTTAAGTACCACCACTTAGTGACGGCCATCACCCTCTACTCAAGCATGTGGATGTTTTTTAGTTAAACATGAATATTGGAAATAGATGAAAAAGAGGACACTGTCAACCCCTCCCTGCATGTCATTCCGATCAGAATTCGCTTCTAATGACTTTGCTGTGATCTTGTGAAAAATCTTTGGCTTTCAGAGTTGGGGATAAGGGATTGGGGGCCTGTTGTGTTCTGAATTTGAGCAGGTTGATCTGCCCCAGAATTCTTACTGTGATGCTCTCGAAGTTGTCTGCTTGTCTTTCCAAGCTCATAAAGAAGTTGGGAGCTCCTTGTGAATGTAGAGCTATGAGTTTGATTATTCCTCTTTGCTGTACTAAATATCGTTGTTTCTCCAGCCACCTCTTCCACGTCTGACACTAAATTGTACACTGACTGATGAAGACATTATAATCGTGCGAATTCACGGAGCCTTACTACACTCATGAAAGCTTGGTAAACTACACGTGGCAGTGCACTGAAGCCCAGTGCGAAAGCAGTACACTACCACGTATGCTACGTTTGAAGAAGAATAATCTCCCAAAGAAAAAACCTGTGTCGCTACGAATCAAAGTTTGAAGAACATTACTGGTTGTCCCCTCACCTGTTTACCAGGTAAACTCTAAATGTGTCATGGTAGAGATAGTGCATCCAGGTGGGGTTCATGGACCAATGGAAATTTGTGGGTTTCGAACCCAGATGGTAGTCTGGTAGACACTTCACAAATTGGAATGTAATGAGTTTCAGTTTTCACAAATGCCCAGTTACAGAGAGAAAGTTACCATTTTTAAGCACTTGACAAGCATCATCCAAATACATGTGTTGATGGACCCTCACAAAACTATATGAGGGAGGTCCTAGTAAGTATCCTGTTTATATGGGAAACAGCACAGGCCTGTAACTAGCTTGCCCAAGATTAGCCGCTGGTAAGCAGCAGAGCTCGGTTTGAATTCATGCCATCTGGCTCTGGAATTCTTGCTTTTCACTATTCATAGCTCTTTACAGTGTTGTTTCATTTGTTCTTTCTTTTTTTTTTTTTTAAGTTCTTTTCCTTCCAGGGAAGGAAATAGTAACTATTAACTCAGTTTCAGTTCTTTTTTTTTTTTTTTATTAAGATTTTTTATTTATATTTTAAAGATTTATTTTTATTTTTATTTATATATAAGCACTGGCATAGTCAGAAGCAGGGGAGGGTGAGAGATTCACCAGAGCCAGCGGGGAGCAGAGCAGGCAGACTGAAGTACACTGCTGAGGGGAGCAGCGGGCGGCAGGAGAGGTCTGCACACCATATGGGGCCCTCCTCCGGTGGCCGGGGAGCAGCCGGATCGAACCGGTGCTGCAGAGCTGTGGGCAGCTTCGCAACCCAGCGCTCAACCGCTGCGCCACCGGGGAGCCCAAGATTATTTATTTTTTATAGAAGAACTGGGGTACAGGCCAGATGCACGGGAGGGTGAGAAGATTCACTGGAGACAGAGAGGGGAGCAGAAGAGGCAGACTGACGAAATACACTGCTGAGGGGAGCAACAGGCGAGACAGGAGAGGTCTGCCGTGCCATGTGGGATTCTCGCTTGCCAGCAGGGATCGAAACCGTGCTGCAGAGGCTGCAGACAGTTTCACAGTGCGGCGCTCAACCACCTGCACCAAAGGGGGGCCCATTGTGTTCTTAAAAAGCGTACATTTGGGCCTCCCTTGTGGTGCTCAGGTTGAGTGCTGCTGTGAAGCTGTCTTCAGCCTCTGCAGTGTAGGTTCGATTCCCGGCCATCCAGGGAGATTCCCACATGGCACTGAGCAGACCTCTCCTGTCATACCCGCTGCTCCCCTCAGCAGTGTCTGGTACGTCTGCCTGTTCTGCTCCCCACTCTGTCTCTGGTGAATTTCTCACCCTCTCGCGCCTCTGGCCTGTACCCCAGTGCTTGTATAAATAAATAAATCTTAAAAAAAAAACATACATTTGATACATTTGGGGAGCCCACCCCCAGTCAATAGCATGGCAGTCTCTTTCAGCTGGGTATAAGGGTGAGAGCTTGGTGTCTTGGCCTGCAGTGATAGTGTCAAAGAACGTTAGTCGAGATACCATAGCATCTATTCAATAGGTTATTGAGAGCAGCTGTTAGGTGCTCTTAAGTGTATTAACTGGACAGAGGCTGACAGCTGCTTCATGAGCTGGGTATATTCATTAGTATTGTTTACAGTTTCACAGGAGGAAACTGAGGCAGTGGAGTTGAAGCTATCCCTCAACTTTGTCGTCATGACTGAGCGAGACTGTGGGGACATGGCTTCTCACTGTGTCTGCTGCTTTATGACAGACACATTTGAGGCTCCTGAGGCGCTACTGCCAATTTACGCACCAAACATACAGGGCCTGGTTCTGCTTCCTCTGGAGGGTACGATGGCCAAAAATAAGACTTCTAGTGGAATATTTGCATCTGTTCATAAATAACACTGGGCCTGATGTGTAGTAACCTTGAGCAGATAAGTTTATTTAGAAATATCATCCATTCTCTTTATTCCCCGTCCTTATGGGCTACACAATCACTGTGAACATGGAATTACCAATATGGAGCCTTTGCGTCGCGGAAGCAGGTGTCTACCAGCCGCTGGGCACCACACTTACGCCAGAAGTTAATGTAGAACTTTGTTTCGTGTGTTCTGTTTAGAGACACCTGATTTTTGATTCATGAATGTCAAGCTCAGGGCACTGTTACTCCTGAATGAAGCTTGTCTAGCATTTTCTCTGAGAGGCACGTCACCGCCCCCTTGTACCTAGGGACACTGGCATGGGGGCCATGCAACAGTGAAATAACCAACAAAAAGGACAAAAATGTGAAAAACATAACCCTGAGTCAGATGTTTGTTACAGTATGAGAACTGAAGTCAGGTGGGCAGGCGATCCCAACCTCCACTGAGGATGTAGCCTCAAGTTGCTCAGTTTTCACTTCTCTGCTGCACATGTCTGCAAAGGAGCATGAAAGTGTTGATTTGGGGAATAAATAGATTTCAGCAAGCAGGTAGATTACACATACAGAGGATCAATTGCATCTGGATTATTGATCAGTTCAGTTCAACCAATTGTATTTCCCTTTTTTTTTTTCCAGCACATTCAAGAGACAGGTGGCCTCTGGTCTATCTATGCTAGTACCGCTACTACTTGCAGGTACGTGCACTCTCTTTAAAAAAAGAAAACTTTCAAATTTGATTTGGTTTTTCAAAGGGCAGTAAATAAATAGTTGGAATGAAACAGTTTGAAGTTTTACACATTTCAAAGAAGGAAAACCTTTTGTATTTTACTGGAGTGTGCCAGTTCTTTGAAAAGATTCTGCACTAAGGGTAGAGTGATCCTTAAGCCACTGAGAGCTTTCCATGGCCCAATGGACCTGCTTGCCAATGTGCCACAGCCATCTTCTGTCCATGGTTTGCTCCAACATACAGATGAATATCTCCTCTCTAAGTCAGATTTTGCAAATATCCCTTTCTCTTTCACCCCATTGTCAAGAAATTCCCATGCCTTATATAGCCAAGGAGAAGGCCCGGACAGGATACTGCTTTTGTTGAGTTGTGTGACTTGGAGTGGGCAGTAGTTAATTCTGGCATTACATGTGTTGCCTTCCTAAACCTCTGGGTCCCACAAAAGTCTTGGGCTAAACTGGAAAGCAATCCTATGCCCTGGAGAACTGATGAACTTTTCCCAGCCCGATGACAAGGACACCCTTCTCTGTCCCAAAACTTCCATGTCAGCTTTCACAAAAGAAAACTTGTGAGACTAATTTCTCATTCCTACAGGGAAGGCTAAAGGGTAAGCTGTCCACAAGGTGTTGGCATTGCGGGTGCATGTCATTTCATATTTGTGTCTTGAACCAGGTTTGCAAACTGGATTTCAGTTTCCTTAGACTTGCACTGCTCAGTACAATAGTGCTAGCAACAGGCAGTGATTTAATATAAAATTTAATGAATTAAAATGAGATAAAAGTTAAACTTGAGTTCCTCAGTTGCACTAACCACCTTTCAAATGCTCAGGAGCTGGTGGCTACCATATTGGACACCCCAGATACAGAACTCCTCCATCTTTGCAAAAGTTTCTGTTAGTTATTGCTGATCTGGACTATTTGGGGAAGTGTTGGTTCTAGAATATGATTTCCCAGGAGTACCATTTCCATGACAGGTGCAAATATCATGAAGATCTCAAGAGCAATCAATAGATGTACCTCTGACAGGTTATAAAAAATCAGCTGAAGAAGTTTGGAGGCATCATAACCAAGGAGTAAAATTTTAGCAGAGTTCAAATGTTCTTTTTAAAAAGTTATTTTTTATCCCCAAATTAGAGATATGATAGTTAATCATCTCCTTAACAGATTGGTCCCCGGATACTGAAATCATTTCTACTCAGTATTACTGTGGAAAACTTGAACCTGAGGAAGATGGCACCGAGTATCCACAGAACTCCCCAAATTGACTGATTTAAGTTCAGTGGGAGAAAGCTGCCACAGTGGACAGGACTGGTAGCACCATATAACCTGGAAAAATATTTGTTCTAAAAAAATCATTAGGCAACAGTCCTTCTGCCCACCTGTGCCTGTGCAGGTGCTTCTTTTTGCCAACTCTCTGTCCCTCTTCAGGGCAGCAGCCTTCCTGCCTGCCATTACCTGAACCTTGCTGGGGCTTCTCTTCACTGACCTCCCTCAGCGGAGACAGCTCTCCTCAAGGCCTCCCTCCTGCAGGCCCTCTCTTGGCAAATCCATCCCTTTCGGGGCCAGCTCTTTCTGCCTCTTTGTGTCTGTAGGTGTCCATTATTCTCTCCCCTTTTTTAATAAAAAAATGGAATTACCATATGACCCAGCAATTCCACTCCTAGGGATCTACCCAAAGGACACAAAACGATTCAAAAAAATACCTGCACCCCTATGTTTATTGCAGCCCTATTTATAATAGGTAAAACCTGGAAACAACCCAAATACCCCCCAAATAGATGACTGGATCAAGAAGATGTGGTATATATACACAATGGAATACGATTCAGCAATCAAAAAAGATAAACTCATGTCATTCACAGCAACGTGGATAGAGCTAGAAGGAATTACGCTCAGGGAAATTAGAAGGAAAAAAAATATTGGATGGTTTCACTTATAGGAGGAATATAGGGGAACCAAATAAGACATCAATGTAAAAAAATAGTAACAGTACAAAACACAACAAAGCGAAAACAGACAATTATAAACCAGAGACATCCTGCAGGGGAGGAGAAGGGAGAGGGATCAGAGGGAGGCAGGGAGGAGCACAGGGCACTGAGGTGATGGTGCACGGGTGCCTTGGGGAAGGAAATTCTATGGGGACTCCACCTGAGGGGAGGGGAAGCAAACATTGTTTAAAAATGAACAATGACTTTAAAAGTATGTAAGGAAAAAAATAAATAAAAAGGAAAAAAATGACCCGTAAAGAAAGAAAGCCCTCAAATAACATTAAAAAAAATCCTTACTTCACATCTCAACCTGAAAGCCATTCCCTGTGGTGAGGTGTTTGCAACGGCTGCCACTGCTGGCTATTGCTGAGACACCTTGACAAGCTCAGTCAAGCCTGTGGACCCAGCTTCTGGGTCACCCTGTGCTTCCTCTGTGGAGAGGAGACGGGTGCACATGGGCGTGGGAAATGGTGACTATGAGCCACATGTGCCTGTGAGCCCTTGAAATGTGGGACTCCAGGCTGAGATGCACAGTCATTATAAAATATCTCTGGGTTCATAAGGCTGGGTATAAAAGAAGGGCTGTGAAACAGCTCACTTATAATGGTCATATTGATTGCATGTTCAAATAATAATATTTTTCATATAATGGGCTAGTGATATATATAAAGATGAATTTACCTATTTCTTCTTACTTTGTAATGCAGCTACTAAAAATTTTAAATCATTTGGGTGACACCCCTCGTGTCCCTACTGGGTAGCACTGGTCCAAACCATTGTAGCCTTCCCTTCATCTTTAGCCTTCCTGACAGGGGTTAACCACTCATCAACAGTTTTTGATTTTCTAACATATCACCAATTTACAAATAACTCTTTGGACCAAATTTGTGTTTAGGTGAGTAGGACATATTAGCTTGATAGTGTTTCAGAGTTTTAAGGATTCAGGTCACTAACTCTTTTTTCTATTCTTTAATTGAGATGAAAATGACTTCTTTTGTAGGTTATTATGCAGATGTAAAGAAAATTTGGACAACAGTCCTTGGAACCTGAGCAGCAGGTGAGTTGTGTATCATGCCCTAGAGCCAGAGCTGATGTAGGTGAGCATCACTTGGGGCATCGGATTCTACGTATCTGCTGGCTGCCTTGAATAGTAGCATCAGAATATATCTAATCACAAGATATACTAGATTAAGCTGATTAAGGTACTGTGGGGACCCCCTTCCCATCTAGAACCTTCTCAAGGGTGCCTGTCATTGCCACTTGCTTAGAGACAATGAATGTGAGACTCAGAGAAGTGAACTCCCATGGCTAGTCAGGGAGAGGACTGGGATGCAAATCCAGATTAACTGCATTTTACTAATATGAAAAAATTTTTGCAGGTCCACTGATAACAGCGAATTAAATGAAATGTCTAAAAGTTAATTTATTCTGTGTATGATAGAAGTATTACAGCATCCTGAAAGAAAGCTGAAGCCTTAAAGGAGATGTCAACAGCACATATGGACATCTCTATTACTACATTTAAGATAGCCAAAGTGACTTGTAGGATAAGGTGAAAGTATCAGGCTTTTCTGCCCTCCTGCCATCAGGATAGATGACGGAACCCTGTGGTCCTGAATGCATGCCTTATGGCGGGCACCTGGAGTAGGGTATGGGCATAGGTAGATGGGATTCACCTGGGCTAAGACTGGACTTTTAAGGGCAGCATCACAGGGACGCCAGCAGAAGCCAAGAGAAGAGAAGCAGAGAAGCTGAACAGAAGCCGAGAGAGCGAACACCGGAGAGCCCAGATAGAGCGAAGACTTGCTGGGGGCCAGGAAGCAGTCAATAGCCTCCCGGCCCCCAGCACCCCTGCCTGCTGTGTACCTGGAAAATCCCAATAAAAGCCTGCAAAGCCACTGAGGACTCTGACTCCTGCTTTACCCCGTCTGCTGGATCAGAAAACCTGCACTGTGCCCATTCCTGACTTTACAGTTGGCGTAAGTTGCCACGATGATCCATGCAGATGGGTATGGAGCCCTCTGAAGACCTGGAGGGACTAAGTGTAACAGGGTGGTCCCCAGGAAAGGGGGGGTTCTAGGTTTCCTGCCCCACCCAAAAGGAGGATGGAGCTGAGCAGAGAGAAGAAGCTGCAGAGGAGACTGAGGAAAGAAGGAAGCAGGATGGAGCCAGGAGGAGCCCTCGAAGAGGCACATGGAGTGGAGAGACATGTGAAGAAACCGCTTGCCTTTTGGTCATGGACTGGGTGACACAGGCATGGGTGAGACCCGTGGGGAGGTGACAATGGTGGTTTTTGTCTCTATTTTGATTTTGCTCTTTTCCTTCCAGACTTGTCTGGTGGTTTCTGATCCTTTTCTGTGGGTCCCCACTGGAAGATGCTTTAGACTTGTGGCGGGATTTGGGGCCCCACTCTGGGCCAATCCTGCTTGGGTAGACTTGTACCCACGAGGGACGGGTCACTTTGGTGCTTCATTTAGAAACTAGACTCTTTGCCTTTCCTGTATTGTTTCCTAGTTGTATTAAAGTTCCTTCCCATTAAAGTCTCATATGTTTTGTGTTGATGCGGCAGATGGCAGAACCCATTTAAAGCAGGCAGGTTTTGGGGGATCTGGGATGCACCTCTCCCTGCCCTGAAACATAAGGAGTAACAGACTGTGTTTGCCTGTGACAATGCTGGCGTCATGGCAGCACAGGAGATGGACAAGATCTGGGAGCTACAGGATGAGACCTTGCATGAAGGAGACAGCCCGAGAGGACCAGCCAAAGACCCCTGAGGCAGCAGAATCATCGGGGAAAGAAAGGACCAAGATTCGGAGCTCACCAGTACTGATGCAAGGAGGGGCCTGATGGCCTTGGACTAAGGGAGTTGGACTGACAATCCCTCCAGAAGGCGGAGGACCTTGCAGGCTGATATGTTTTGGTGCACCCCTGCCTGCTGCTGTACCGGGTAAATCCCAATAAAAGCCTGCAAAGCCACTGAGGACTGACTCCTCCTTTACCCGGTCTGCTGGATCAGAAAACCTGCTCAGTGTCCTGTCCTGCCCTTTACAAACTACATGTAAATAAAATATGTAAATATATAATATGTAAATATGTAAGTATGTGGCTAGTTTTTCCTGTTAAATTAGAAAACTAAAATAGTCACAGACTGTGAAGACTTTTACTGGGAGCCAGGCTACTCATGTCGAATTGTTAGGGGGAAAGGATGTGCTGAGCTCATTCCACGCAGGGTTTGTGGACGCCACCCCCACTCCAGACCAAAGCCATCAGGACATTGGGAAAGACAAATCCCGTCACCACCAAAGGGAGGGTGGCTGGCACCTGAGAGTGGGGTTAAGCAGCCAGGTTGGGTATAAAAACCAGACACGTGGGCCTTGGGTCTCTCGCTCTGTCGCTCGCCTCCTGGCTTCAGGGCTCCTGGCTGGCGGCCAGCTCTCAGAGCGCCATTTGGGATTCCAGGTCTGCGGATCAGGTAGGACGCATTTAAGACTTTATCTCCCACTTTTCTCCCTGAGCTGTACATTTCCTCATTTCCCCTGCCCTTGTCCATAAACCTTTTATGAACCTTTCGCGTGTGCCTGCAGTGGAGTATTAGTAAATCCTTTTAAGCGCGCGGGTGAGGACCCACAGTCAGGCACCCCGTTTTTTTTTTTTTTTTAAGATTTATTTTTATTTATTTATATAAGTACTGGGTACAGTCAGAAGCGCGGGCGGGTGAGAGAATTCACCAGAGCCAAAGTGGGGAGCAGAGCAGGCAGGAGGACCGAAGCACACTGCTGAGGGGAGCAGCGGGCAGCAGGAGAGGTCTGCGCGCCATGTGGGACCCTCCTCCGGTGGCCGGGGAGCAGCCGGGGATCGAACCGGTGCTGCAGAGGCTGTGGGCAGCTTTGCAACCCAGGGCTCAACCGCTGCACCACTGGGGAGGCCCAGGCAACCCGTTTTGTATTGGGGCTGCCCTGTAACAGTTTGACAAAGGTCCGGGCATGGGGCAGATTCCTGAAAAGTCAGGAATCTCCTTAGCTGACTCCTGTTAGTTTCTCCTCATTTGTTTATGGCTAGTTTCTACCATTGTCAAAATACGCATTTAAAAGTAAAGCTGCAAATGCTTTTTTTTTTTTTTTTTTAAAGATTTATTTATTTATTTATACAAGCACTGGGTACAGTCAGCAGCGCGGGAGGGTGAGAGAATTCACCAGAGCCAGAGCAGGGAGCAGAGCAAGCGGAAAGACCGAGGTACACTGCTGAGGGGAGCAGCGGGTGGCAGGAGAGGTCTGTGCGCCATGTGGGATCCTCCTCTGGTGGCCGGGGAACAATCCGGTGCTGCAGAGGCTGCGGGCAGCCTCGCAACCCATCGCTCAACCGCTGTGCCACCTGGGAGGCCCTGCAAATGCTTTTTTTTTTTTTTTTTTAAACATCTTTTTTTTTTTATAGAGGCATGTTTTTTATTTATTTATTTATTTGTTTGTTTGTTTTTTGTTTATACATGCACTGGGTACAGTCAGAAGCGCGGGAGGGTGAGAGAATTCACCAGAGCCAGAGCGGGGAGCAGAGCAGGCAGAAGGACCGAAGGACACTGCTGAGGGGAGCAGCGGGCGGCAGGAGAGGTCTGCGCGCCATGTGGGACCCTCCTCCGGAGGCCGGGGAGCAGCCGGGGATCGAACCGACGCCGCAGAGGCCGCGGGCAGCTTCGCAACCCAGCGCTCAACCGCTGCGCCACCGGGGAGGCCCTGCAAATGCTTTTTGATCAATTACTGAATAACCAATTTGATGGCAAATGGCACTGCGTGATACAAATACTACATTTTTTTATAAAATTAGTAATTCTCTGCCAAAAGGCAGCAATTCAACATTGGGCCTTACATTAACAAGTGAAAAAACTTCTGGGAACAAAAGGCTGTAAACATCCCTTGGCCAAGTCTTTAATATGGATATGTGTGCTTTTGAGGCAAGGGCTGAATGGAGAAGGAAATTCTTTTACTTTAAAGTTAAAGAGAGCAGTTGGGGGCCAGATGCAAGCCATGCTCCAAGTGTAAGAAAATTCCTAATAAGCCAGGAGGCGCTATAGTCCCCTCCTGCTAAATTCCTCCTCTTTGTTTAGGGCTAACTCCCCTGGAGGTGACAGTTGGTGTGGTAGTTGTTAGAGTGTGCATTCAAGAATAAGTCAACAACAATTTTGTGACTGATTGAGTTGATAACCATGGCAGCACAAATAGTGCACTTGGAAATAGTCAATGTTACAACTACTGATATGTCACGTATTAACCACTTTGAGAACCAAAAGCTATAACCATCTCCGACTCTGTCCCTGATGAAATATTTGTAGTTCTGTAACGGGGGTCCCCAGGAAAGGGGGAGGTTCCAGGTTCCCTGCCCCACCCAAATGCAGGGTGGAGCTGAGCAGGGAGAGAAGAAGCTGCAGAGGAGACTGAGGAAGAAAAAAAGCAGAATGGAGAGCAAGGAGGAGACCTGGAGGAGGCGCATGGAGCCGAGAGACCCGTGAAGAACCTGCGCTTGCCTTTTGGTCGTGGACGGGGTGACACAGATGTGGGTGAGACCCATGGGGAGGTGACCATGGCAGCTTTTATTTTTATTTTGATTTTGCTCTTTTCCATCCAGGCTTGTCTGGTTGTTTCTGACCCTTTTCTGTGGGTCCCCACTGGAAGATGCTTTGGACTTGTGGCAGGCTTTGGGGCCTTGCTCTGGGCTAATCCTGCTTGGGTGGACTTTTACCCATGTTGGGACGGGTCACTTTGGGTGCTTGACTTAGAAACTAGATTCTTTTCCTTCCCTGTATTGTTTCCTAGTTGTATTAAAGTTCCTTCCCATTAAAGTCTCATATGATTTGTGTTGATGCGGCGGATGGCAGAACCCATTTAGAGCAGGCAAGTGTGTGTGTGGGGGGGGGGTCTGGGCTGCCGGTCCCCCTATCCTGTAACAGTTCCTTAAAACAACAATCAGCAATCTTAAAGAAAAAGGAATTTTCCCTTGATCTTAAAGTTAGATAAGGAAACTAGGCTGACTAGATAATTAGGGGAGTAATAGGTAGAAAATTCTTTTGTTAGATTAGGAAAATTCCTCCCTTAATTGAGAGCTTGGGGCTAGGGAAGAGTCAATGCATCTTCCTTCCCCTAGGTAACTTCCTGTCCTTTGTTTCCCCTAGCCCTTAGTTAATCATTCTCTGTGGGAAACATAGAAATGTTAGTTTCAGTCACATAAGTTTTTGCTAGTAATAAAATGACTGTTTGGTTGTTCAAAGTAAATGACTATTCTAAGAACACTTGTTTAGCAACTGTGCCTTCTTTAAATCAAAAAATAATAAATGTTGCGACCTCTGCAGGAGGGCAAATAGACCCTTGGCTGTTCTTGAGAAAGATGTGATTGTTATCTTCCTGCCTTAGTGCATATGCTGATGCACTCTCATGGTTTGCTTGAAATGTTTAAATAAAGGGCTGCTGAGACCCTTAGCGGGATGATGTCTGCACCCTGATCAAGTGTCTGTGTCTCCTTACTCCCCCTTCCCCCTCATTTTCCACAAATTGCGCTGACTCCATCCCATCCTTTAGGAACCCCTCACACCCAGGCTGCTGCGGCTGTCTCGGCAGACTTTTTACTGAAATCTATACTTGTGTTGTTTTTAAAGAGGAGTAGGGACCTCCGTGGTGGTGCATCAGGCTTTTCTGCCCTCCCGCCATTAGGATAGATGAGGGAACCCTGTGGTCCTGAATGCATGCCTGAGGGTGGGTACCTGGAGTAGGGTGTGGGCACATGTAGATGAGATTCACCTGGGCTAAGACTGGGCTTTTTTAAGGGCAGCGTCAGAAGTTGAGAGAAGGAGAAA